CCGGCCACCACCGACCACCGCAACTGGCTGAAGAAGAAAACACCTGAATACAGCAGGAAACATACTTCGTAACAGTGCAGTGAGTCCTAGTTAGTTAGCAAGTGAGACCAGAGGCATTCTTTTCCTGAAAAGATAAACATTCTAACAGTCAAAATAACGTGCCGCACATGTGCACATGCACACACGTGTACACGGGATACGTGTTTCCTGAAATCCACTGAATCCTGCTTAAACCATTGACTAAAACTTGAATTCAGATTAGTTGTCCTAATGCTAATGAGATTTCTGGTGAATCACAAATAGTTTGAAGCAGGCCTGTGTTCCTTTGTAGCCACCAGTCTTTGATCGGTAAAAGGAAGTAGCTATTCTTTCTGATTCCCTAGTTCTTTGCTATTTAGAGTACTGTATCTCTGTTGTAGAATAGAGCTTGGTGCCTTAGATTTAAAAACTTTTTATACACTAGCTCTTTTATAAAAAAGGCAGAGACAGTCATCCTAACAGATGTGTTTCTGATATTTTTCTGTACAAATTTCACATGTTGAAACACTGTTACGCTTTCATATAAATGTGTGCTCTATGCAATAAACTTTGCAGGTAAAGCAAAAAAGAAAATAATAATAATGAGCCAATCAGCTTACTTTCCCCCCACAAAGGCTGACATTATAACCTCTGAACATATTTTTACTGACTGTATATATTCCAGCTCTGACAAAGCTACAAAAGACCAATTACATGTACTACAAATTGCTTCTCCTTCCTTATTTCAACATTAATTTATGTAAACAAAAAACGATGTAGGGGAATAAGGAACTGCCCTCACAGACTCGCTACAACCGTTACCTCGTGCCACCACAAGTCAACTGTGAGCTTAAATTCAGATGTTCCTCAACTCCCGCAAAGGATGGAATGCCTGGAAATCCCATTATCATCACAGATTAAGAAATACTAATATACTTAGCATAATGATATGAGAAATTAGCTATTTCATATTAGATTCCAGAATGGACATGGAAAAGACATCAAAGTTTAAGGAAAAATAGTGTAAGTTGAAAAAAATCTTGAAAATCAAGTAAATTATGGGGACTTCCCTGGTGGCGCAGTGGTTAAGAATCTGCCTGCCAGTGCAGGGGACATGGGTTCGAGCCCCGGTCTGGGACGATCCCACAGGCCGCGGAGCAACTAAGCCCATGTGCCACAACTACTGAGCCTGCGCTCTAGAGCCCGCGAGCCACAACTACTGAAGCCCGTGCTGCGCAACAAGAGAAGCCCGCGCGCGGCAAGGAAGAGCAGCCCCCGCTCGCCGCAACTACAGAAAGCGCATGCGCAGCAACAAAGACCCAACACAGCCAAATATAAATAAATAAATACATTTATACAGAAAATTATGTTCAACAACTTGGACTTTTCTCCTATGAACTAAGAAATGGCCATCACCGCCAACTGCTGTGACTAGGCTGCACTGGCGTAAACGTGTGCACGGCACGACACGATGAGCAGCTGATACGAACGTGCACACGTGCAGCCGGCCTGTCCAGCAGAGCGGATATCTCCGCTGTGTAGCTCGGGCTCTTGACCATCTCCACCCTGGAGGTCAGACCTCTGCTTTAACAGAACTCCAGTCTCCTCCCACTGTCCACAAATCACAAGCTTCCACAGGACACGTAGCGCCACTTTCCATCCCCCACTCAATCCCTTGGCTCCAGGCGCACTGAACAAAGGTCCACACTTATTTCCTTACAAACCACCTGTGCAGCTTCTATGACCTTGGGTTCGCCTGGAAAATCCTTCATAGCCTCCTGGTCCACTGGTGGGTGAATTTCTACTCCCCTAAGACTTAACACACCCACCTAGGAAGTCCCCAGACTCAATACACACCCATCTAGGAAGTCCCCAACCTCAGCAATGCTGGCCTAGGACAGCTGTCACAGCACTAATGAATCACTTCCTACTTATGACATGATAGATTGGTGAGCTGCTTGAGGGACAGACGTCTCAATGAATCCCCAAGGCCTGGTAAGTAATAGGTATTTCATTAAAATGTGATAACAAGAACTATTATTAGGCACTGCCTCAACAGTAAATGCACTTCTTCCATTTCATCCACAGAACAACTTCGAGAAGCTATTACCCACATTTTACAGATGAGGAAGCTGTTAACCAAAAATGGGGTGAGAAGGAACAGCCCATATAATACAGAACTATCACCAGAGGCCACATTTCCATTACTCTACACTAGTCAAGATCAAAGTTCTTTGAGGCAATTACAGTTCCTTTTCACTCCATATAAAACTTAAAAAATACATAACAAAGCTAAAAAAAAAAGGTTTCAAATGAGTCAAGAAGGCATAGTCTTTCTGTGTTTTGAAAAGGTTACTGTATCTTTATTTCAAATAGCTCATTTAGGTTGGAAGCATATGCCACTATTACTTTACATAATATGACTTTATAAGACTTGAATTTCAAACATCACCCAAGGCAGACCTTATTGTGTTCACTTAACTCCCCCCAAAATCCACCTGGATAAAGTTTTTTCAGGGCAACAGTAAATTTTTTAAAAAAAGAACAGACTTGTTTCAAGGTGGAGGGGGGTAGGGGAGGGATGGATTGGGCAGTTGGGGTTAGCAGATGCAAACCACAGAGAATGGATAAACAACAAGGTCCTACTCTACAGCACAGAGAACTACATTCAACATCCTATGATAAATCATAATGGAAAAGAATTTTTAAAGAAGAATGTATATATATGTTTAACTGAATCACTTTGCTGTACAGCAGAGGTTAGCACAACATTGTAAATCAACCATACTTCAATTAAAAGAAAAAAGAAGCATGGTGAGTCTTCATAAATAAGCTAAAATGACAGTGCTAGGAGGTTATAGCTGGTTTTGTTTTTATTTTAGGTCCTTTTTCGAGAGGAAGAAAACCGCAACAAGTTGGCAACCAGGAAGTCCTCTTAATTTTTTTTTAATTTTTGTTTTTTTGGGTTTTTTTGAGTGTCTGTGAAAGCCCAGGGTGGGTTCTGGGAAGGACTGTGTTAAACACCAGCCTCACGAAGCACTGCAGTAGGAGAGATTCATTTTGAACCTCAGCCAAGATATGCAAAGCTAATTATGGAACTGTTAATTACTAAATGTTTAAAAGGTTATTTGAAGGTGACTAAGTTTCTACCAATATTGCAAAAGAATGTTAATAATTTTTACCATGAATTCAAGTCCTCACTTGTTCAGAGCCACATGCTAATACAGTTTGAAATTGGTTTTTCAGAAATAAATGTGTATTTTTTTAACCTCCAAATTCAAATATCATTGTTATGAAAGCTAAATGCTTGTGGCCAGTCATTACTTTGCGAGCCATGCTTTTCAAAAGTGTACCCAGACCATTTAGTTGTGTTTTACGAACAAAAACTACTTAAGGAACAAATTATTTATTACTAGAGCCCCAAAATGAGCCAAAATATAATCAAAGTATAAGTTGTCAGATGAAAACATAAGACTGCTCATAAACAATGATAAAAAAGAGATGGAAAATTTATCTGTCATAGACACAATTCTTCCACTGGATTTGAAAGTTAAATATTCATCAGAGATACTCTTTTGTGCAGATTCTCATAATTTAAAGTTCTCTGTGCTAAAGGCACTTTTTCAGCCCTCTCATTATGACTCAAGACACATGCTACTGAGTGACTTTTGCAAAGAATTAAGTCTTGCACTGTTAAGAGCTCTCCAATGACAAATTCATGATTTAGCAACTAAATCAAAAGGTGTAACAGCCAAAAAAAAATTTCAGTAATGAAGAACAAAGTAATATTACTAGGAAGGGATGAGGCAGGAGATTTTACACAAGCCATTTTAAAAAGTAACTTTTACAACTAGCTAAAAACACATCATATGAAATCTTTAAAGTAGAAGAATATTCTGCAATAGATGTTTCACCTGAAAAACTGAAAACAGGCATTTAAACACTCTACCTAAGCAACCTGAAAGGGTCTGAATCCAGTAAGTTAATAATATGGTTTAGAAAAGTCATTTCATTGTTTAAAGACTTGGGGGGAAAGCTGTTTGTAATTTATTTACATCTTTCACTTCACTTAATTGCTTAGGTGACCAAGCTTCCCATTTAAGTGATTAAAGACACAAACCCCAACAGTTTAATAAAGCAGTTACTTAAGAGTCCTGTTTTTCAACAGAGGTGCACTGAAAAATATTAATAGAACATTTAGTGCTCCTTATTTTCAAGGAGGTTTGTTATCGAGAATACAGTGCCCCACTGACTAGAACTTAGCCACTTTCCAGACACACAATATGGGACACACATTGGATTAAAGATGGCTTTTCTTGTCCTCTCAGAATATCAGGTGAAATAGTGACAGCCCCTTAAATATGAGTATGTGAGATTTAGCTAAAAATTCGAGTGACAATTTTGTTTCTCCTTGCCATTCCCCCTCTAGTGACGTGCCTAAATAAACGGGAAAATGGGTTTCCATTTTCCAGGTGGGCATGAAAAGCTTCCTAATTTCATAACACTCTTCAAAGTTCCTGTGTTTGCACTGAGGCTCTCCCCACCCCCAGATTCTCTTGGAGTTAACCTCTTAGGTTACACGAGTGACAGCACGATTACTTCTAGGCAACTGAGTGACCTTGTACAAAACCACATCTTCACAGCGTTTGGGAGACAAACTGGGTTGGTAGGGTTAAAAAAAAGAAAAAAGAAAAAAGGAAGAAAATGAATTTAACAGAATATTTATATATTTTCCTCTTTTAAGGCACCTTTCTCTTGCCTGCCGTAAGAATCGTACAAACTCCTTCACCAAATCTATCCTGAGAAACAGAAGGAAGCATGACAGCAAAACTTCCCTAATTCGTATCTGTCTGTCCGTATCAAGTTTATTTAATAACTTGGCTTTTATATTACAAACTTCTAACCCTCGAGCACTCAAGAGAAAAGACAGGGCAGAAAAACTTCCAGCCCTTGCATTCACAAAGCACTCAACAGAAAAGGCACCTGCTACCAAAACATTTATTTTTTTACTTTTGAGTAAATTTCAAACTTTCAGAAAAGTAATTATTTTTGACAAGCCAGGTGAAGGTGGAAAACATTCACATTTCCATCTACTTTCTCTTTAAAATAATAAATAAACACGTAGGTCCGCATTAGTAATAACCAAGGGAGCATCAGTGTTAATAGGGTGGATACTTATGAATGTTCCAAATGTTTGGTAGGCTTCTCTAAGGTGACTTGTTCTGTGAAGGTTTGGTGGGGGAAATGTGCTGCTTTCAGACGGTCAGCGAAGCGTTCACGTTGCGGTGTCAGTAGCAACTGGCCCACTTCTAACTCGGGCCAAGCTCTGTGCTGGTCGGTTTTCACTCTGCTCTCCACAACCGGCGCGTCAACAGGGAAATTTAACAGCTCATTTCTCTGGCACAGTCAGCACGCGGTCACAGTGGAGGTTCTGTCTCTTCCAGTTTTGTTGGGGGACACACCCCCCTCCACCCACCTGATAGTAGATTTGGAGTCATTGCTATTCTAATCAACCAACCTGAGATTCCACTTCCCGGCTCTCTAATTTCCACTAAAGGCCTCTGACATCATTTTCTGACCTGCCTTGCTAGGCTCTAATATTCTCAGCATGTGTGATTTCACTTGGCACTTCAAACACTGAAAGGGATTGAAACATTTCACTGAAATGGGCTCCTCCACCACACTGTGACTGAGAACGTGCGTTTTCAGCTGCATTAGACTGACTGACAACTTAAAACCGACAGGAAATGCAGAAGGCACATGAGCAGCAGTGCAACAAGAGCAAAAAGCAGGACCTTCCTCGTTTTCGATAAAGTAATCCTTTGGATTAGGAACTTTCTGGAGACACTGTGAAATGAATTTGCCTTGCAAGATTACCATCTTCCACAGTCTGGTAAACGAGTGCAATCTACCTACGATCCCCAGATGTGCCACCTCCATCAGAAAATAAATGAAAAATCAAAAACCGTACCAGGTGCCATTCCTGGGCCTTGTCCAAAGGCAGCCAGTGGAAGCGTCTATTTTATTCTCCTTGCCCCACATTAAATAATGACAATCAACAGCAGAGGAGGAGAGCCTTTGGCTCTGAACAGATGGCATCCAACACCTAACAAGCGAAGCAACTCTTTCAAGCATTAGATCCTAAATGTCTGATGGTCCCAAGGATCAGGAGGGCTTATTTGTCTTAAGACGGTTGGCAGCAGGATCCCCTGTAGTCACCATCCCAACGCTTAGGAGCATGCGTCATTATCCAGTCAGCAGCTAAAAGCAAAAAAAATCAAACCACCACATTTTTATAAAATTTCCCCCTCTCTAGTCCAACTTGAGACGACCAGATCCACCACCATCAGCAATTCCTCTACTTAAAGCCAGAGAAAAATAAGCCTGAAGGTAAACGAACGTATGAAGGTTAACAAACTTATCTAATTTTGACAAGGTTGTGCAACACCAAAAGAATCCGCAGGGTACCCTTCCCGGGGCTGTATTTGAATATGCCTACTCTGCAGTTCTGTCTGCAGTTGAAACTAAAAGCACTAACCTAGCTATTCAACTTCCCCCCCACCAACCCCTTCCTTGCAAAGCGGCATCACTTTTCCAAATTAAAAAAAAAAGGAAAAGAAAAATAGTAAACATACAAACATCTCAACCTTTTACTTTAGAAGACCAGCACGGGTTCGCATTCCGCAGAGCCCTGCAAGTTTCCTCCTACACCTCTGCAAACGCCGAAGAACTCTGAAGGTACCAGGGGCCACAAGCCCGGGGAGGCAGGGCGCCTGCGGCCGGGGTGGGGGTGGGGGGCAGGAGGGGCCGGCCGAGGGGAGGTGACTGCCCCCCGCCCCGAAAGGCTCCCGGGCCCCGCGCTAGGCTGGGCAGAGGGGACGCTCGGGAGAGACCTCCCTGCCCCGCGGGGCAATCGCAGGAGCAGGTCGGTACGGGGAGAGCAGCGAAAAGGAGGAGAAGATCCAGGAGAGGGGGAAATAACGCCAGGACGGCCAGGGGAGACGCGGAGACGCGAAGCCCCTGGAAGCTGGGGACCTGACGCGAGGCGCGGGCGCGCGGGGCGAACGACGTGGGCAGGGAGCGCGCAGCCGACGCGGGGCTCACCTGGGGGGTCCTCTCGGCCGGGTTCTTCATCACCGCCTGGCGGAAGCTGTTATCCACGTAGGACGCCATCTCCCCCCGCAGCCCGGGCCGGGGCCGCTCCGCGCCCTCGGCCGCCGCCTCCCGGCCCAGCGCCGCCGCCGCCGCCGCCGCCTCCGCCCTACGCGCTCCGCCCGCCTCGGGCCAACCAGCCAAACCGCGGCGGCGGCGGGGCGGGGGGCGCGCGAGGCCCGAGGGTCCCCTCGGCGCCCGGCTGCCGGGAGCTCCCGCTTCCTCCGCCTCCCCCGCGCCGCGCGGCCGGGAAGGCTCCCCACGGGCCCGGGCTCGACACGCCTCCCCGGCTCCTCTCGGGGACGGCGGCGGCTCCTCCCGCCCCCCGCCGGCCTGAGTTATTTTTAGGGAGTTCGAGCGGCGGGGAGGGGTTGGCTGGGGCGCACGGGCCTCGCGATCCTCCGCGCGCAGGGCCGCCCCCTCCTCTCGGGGGCTCCGGGAAGCACTCGGGGGCGCCGCGGCCGCCGTCCGATGACCGGCTCAGGTCAGGGCACTGCGAAGCCGGGTCGCCTCGGCCGCCGTCCCCGCCGCCGCGCCGCGGCTCCGTCTACTGCGCTTGGCCGAGCCCCCCGACGGCTGCTGCATCCCCTCGGGCCGCCCCGCCGCCGCCGTGCGCTCCGCCGCCGCCCCCCATCTGCACGCGCGGAGCGGCCAGAGCGCCCCCGGCTGCGCGCTCGGCCCGCTGGCTCTCGGCAACTTTGTTCCCGGGCTGCGGGCGCGGAGGGAAGGGGCCGCGGGCACCGGGTCCGGACTCCTGGCGGCGGGCGTCGCGCACAGCCCCCCGGAGAGTGTTTGGGAAGCGGCGACTCCCCTCCTCTTCCCCGCCTCTTCCTCCTCCTGCGCCCCCGCGCCGCCCCGCCGCGCTCAGGGAGGAAGCGGCCTCCGGGGCCGGGCGCTTTGTGCTGCAACCATGGTGAAGAGCGAGTGACGGGCCGGCAGCCACTGGAAGCGCGCCGCGGCGGCGGGGGCGGGGCGTCCCGGCGCCGGCTCCCGCCCCCGCGCCGCCCGCCCGCCAGCCGGCCGCGCCCTCGCTCCGGAGCTGCACCTTCGGCGGCCCAGGTGAGCCGCGCGCCGGGCACCCGGGGGTCGCCGCGCCCGGGCCGGGCTGGAGGGGGCCCCGCACCACCTGGCCCCGGGGAGGCGGCGCGCCCCGGCTGCCGGGCGGAGGGCGCAGCTTCCCCTCTGGCGGCTCACGCCGCGCCGCCGGCCCACACCCCACGCGCGTCCCGGGGGACCTGCAGCGTCGCGTCGCCCCTCCAGACTGCCCCTGGCGCCACGCCTCGGCCGCCGAGGCGGCACGTCGACCCGGAACAGAAGCCCGGCCCGCAGCTTGGGCCGCCCTGGGCAGTCGTTTTGAACCCAGGGGTTGGCTCCGAGTCGCTCCAGAGGCGATCAGTCCTCTAGGGATTTATTTGGCTTATCCTTAACTTTCTGCAGGGACAGCGTTCCTCTCCTGTCTTCCGTGCTCACCAGGGCACCTTTAGACACTTAAATGACCAAGAAAGGAGGGAGATGGAAACGTGCCAGTTCAACCCTAGACCAAACACCACCCCCAGACGGGCGAACACTCCAGATTTAAAGGTGAGACCCGGACAGCAAGTTATGTGACATAAGCAGAAACACTGGCAGATGTGGCTTGGCACGAGCCGGGTAAACGTCCAGACCCCGGAGTCACTTGGTGCAGAGGCACTAGGACAGAGCCCTTTAAGATGTCACCAGTCCTGCTGTGTCCTCCCCCCTCACACGCCCACCCGCGAGCCAGGTCGAGGTGTGCAAGCCCAGCCAAGCAGCGGGAACAGCTCTGGAGTCCTGGTCCTAGAGCTTGATTTTTTTTTTTTTTTTTTTGGTACGCGGGCCTCTCACTGCTGTGGCCTCTCCCGTCGCGGAGCACAGGCTCCGGACGCGCAGGCTCAGCGGCCATGGCTCACGGGCCCAGCCGCTCCGCGGCATGTGGGATCTTCCCAGACCGGGGCACGAACCCGTGTCCCCTGCATCGGCAGGCGGACCCTCAACCACTGTGCCACCAGGGAAGCCCCTAGAGCTTGATTTTCATCTGGCTCCCCTTCCCCACCCGCATCAAGTTCGTGCTTTGCTGTCTCTATGGAGGCCGCACTCAGAGGAGGATTGCTATTTTGAGGACCTACCACGCTGAACACTTTTCAAATTTTCAAACATAACTTTTTCGACATCTAGTTTATTGTAAACACTTGGAATAGGTTATGAACGAACGTTTTAGGGTTCCGAAGTCACCTGTGTGGCATTAAACAGATTGTGTGGCTTCCAAGAGATGGGACCATCCTGGCCGAACCTCCTGAAACAATCTTACAAATTATCTCTCTAGACCCTTGATGTTACCCTGTGCTCCAACTGCTTCCCCATATTTCTCTCGAAGCCCTTAGTTGAAACCCAGCATCCAATTCTTTGTGACCTAGACCACCACCACCTTGAATAAGTGCCATTACAGCTCTGTGAAGAGAGAGGAGAAGAAAAGTCAGATCCAATGAAGTGAAAAAACATACCTGACATCTCCATCTGGTGCCCGGTAGACATCTCAGAATTCACCTGTGCAAACCAGGCTCCAGATCTCCTGCCCCAGACATGCCCCAGCCACAGACTTCCACATTCCTGCTAATGGCATCTACCTCTGTCACCCCTTGCCCAGGTGAAGAGCCTTGGCTTCTTTCTTGACTCTTTCCTTTCTCTTACCAACCCCCCCACCCCGGGTTTCAGTAAACCTGTCAGCTCAACCTTCAGAGTGCCATATCTGGAATCTAACCTCTACCCACCACCTCAACGACCATGACGTTGGTCCACACCAGCATCAGCTTTTGCCTGAGCTTTGCAGTAACCACTTACCTGGCCTCCCTCTTTCTGCCCTTGCCTCCAGCACCAGGGAGTCGGGGTGAGTCTTTTCACTCCAGCTCATGTCATTCCTCTGCTAAAAACAACAACAAAGGGCTTCCCTGGTGGCGCAGTGGTTGGGAGTCTGCCTGCCGATGCAGGGTCCGGGAAGATCTCACATGCCGCGGAGTGGCTGGGCCGGTGAGCCATGGCCACTGAGCCTGCGCGTCCGGAGCCTGTGCTCCGCAACGGGAGAGGCCACAACAGTGAGAGGCCCACATACCGAAAAAAACAAAACAAAACAAAACAAAAAACAACAACAACAAAAAGTCCATTAGCTCCCCACCACTTTTTTTTTTTTCAAGGTCCTTATTTATCATGGTCTAAATGACCTATAGAACTGGTTCTCCTTCCCTCCCCACCCCCGCCCCCTTTATCTCTCTGACCTCATCTCCTACTATTCTACCCCCTGCTCATTTCCCAGCCACACTGGCCTCCATGCTGCTTCTGGAACACAGGAAGCTAGCCACAGTCTCATGGCCTTTCCTTCTGCTGTTCCGCTGCCACCTGAATTAGTGACCCACTCCCCTAGGCCACCAGAAAACCAAACCAAACCAAACCTAGAATGGTGTTCCCTCGCCTCCTTCATGTCTTTATTCAAGTGTCACTTTCCCTGTATCTCCACATGCCCTAGTTCTCTCCCTTGCTTTGCTTACCACCATCTGACATACGCCGGAATTCACTTACTTGATTTATTTATTGTGTCCCTCCACCATAATGTAAGCTTCCGACGTCAGTGATTTTTTTGTTCCTTTTGTTCACTGCTGCACCCCCCAACGTGATGTAAATGAATGAATAACTATAGTGCTACCTTGTATGTGTATGGAACTGATACATACATTATCTCTGTTGGGGAAGGGGAGGCTAGGAGAGAAACTTAACCTCTCTGAGCCTGTTTGCTCTTCTTTTAAAAGCAGATAAAGATGGCATACCCTGAAGATTTTCGAGGATCCAGGAGAATCCACGCAAAGTGACAGTGACTTGTAAAGCGCTTGAACCACGGTGTGTGCTCAACAAACGGTGGTTATTTTTAAGATCGTCCTCATCATCCCAACCCTCTGAGGTTAGTAGAACGGTTATTATCATTCCTGTTTACAGATGAGGTAACTAAGACTAAAATAGGTTATGTGACTTGCCCTAGTTCCAGGCCTGCCTGGAAGTTTGGAAGGGCCCAGGGCAAGCTAATGTAGACCCCATCGCAAATGCCTAAAGCTATAAATTAACTGGAACACAGTGTGGCAGTGACTACTGGCTTCTGGCCTGAAACTCACACCCCATTTTCTTCCCATCTCTGCTCCATCATGTATTACAAAAAGGCTCATACACGCGAGGACACCCTAGCCTGCGCACCATACCCCTCACAAAAGCTACCCCCTGGCGATTCCTCCAGCCTTGGACAGTCAGGCCTGGAAGTGGCAGGGCAGTAAGTTCCAGGGCCTAAGGTGTTCAGAAAGCATGGAATTCCTTGTCCCATGGGGAAGGTGAAGCCGGAGCAGGGCCCCTCAAAGCCTAGGCAATGGGCAAGAACTCAACTCACCCAGGCCGCACAGCCAGAAAGCTGTGACTTACAGATGCAAACCCAGCTCGCTCTTCTGAGTGCTCTGCTGTGATACTGAATTGCCCCAGTGACCTCAGGTGAGGCCTAATAGTATGTCTTGTCCACCAACAAAATGACTACCTCGCTGTCAACCTCTAAGCTATCATTTAATTTCAATTAAAGTTAACTTTCCCGCTACTTATAATTACTTATGTAAGTACGTTAATAATGCCATTCGGCATCTAGGACACCTGATACTTGGCATGCATTGCTTTGTTTTATATATTTTATATAATATATTTTATATAATAAAATATGTAGCTTAGGTGTTTACAGTCATCTTTTAAAGTGAGTAGATTTTTTTTTTAATTTGTTATTTTTTTATTAACATTTGAGCACCAACAGTATGCTGTGTATACCATGGGTGACAGAATTAGACATAGACCTGCCAGTTTGCCAGTTAGCCTAAACCAAACTGCTCCAATAACCATAAAGTAAACCATTTATTATGCTGCTTCATAAAGGCACGTATAAAGATGACAGCTTCTTTGTTCTGTTTCTACAACCATCATATTACCTAGAAAGTCATTAGGGTATAGAGAGACAGAACACTGTGTTTTAAGTCTAGAAATGCATTTCAAGTTCTGGCCTTAATACCATTCGACTTGTAACTTCAAAAAGCCTTGATGATTCCAACAGTAAAACCTAATATTAATACATCTCTAAATATATAGGTGAGGTGTTTACAGTCATCTTTTAAAGTGAGTAGATTTTTTTTTTTAATTCCTATGGGTCCAGCTACAACATAAGAGTAATACTGATACATCTACACCTATCTATCTATAGTCATTTTGTTCAAAAAAACGCCTTGAACGTTCACTGTTCAGTCAATAAATATTGATATTTATTGCATGCTGTCTACTAGGTACTGATCTCTATGTTTGGAGTACCAATGGTGGATAAGACAAGCGTGCTCCGTTTCCTGGCCTTGTGGGAGCTGACTCTGTGTGCCAGGCATTTGCCTCATTTACTCACCTCATCTAGGAGAATGGCCAGGGCACTAGGATCTCTTGTCTGAGAACAATCTGCGCTGTTCTAAGACAAGAGATCCCTCTCGTTACCATCTTGTCCAGCTGTTACAACTGTCTGAAAGCAAGGTTTAGAGCTGAGAGGGGTGGAGTTCTAGTAAAGGTGTTCCTCCCATGAATCGGGCTCCTCCCAGACAATTTTTATGCACATTGTTTTGCAGTTACTTGACTCTCAGGAGAGTGGAAGGCTATAGTTTAGACACTGTATCGCTTTCAACAGAGCACACTCCACTAGGAAATATTGTATCTACCTGCAAATAGCATTCCGGAGTCCCTGGTGGAGAATACAGTTACAGAGCCCAGGGAGAGACAGTGTATACATAGCAGAGAGCTCATGAAACAAGTTAGATGAAGTGTATCAAATACACAATTAGACTCAGACTCTTAGGTTTGATTTTATAGGAATCCTAATAAATTCAGAGCTGAGGATGTTGTCACATGAGTAAGAACGATGCTAAATCTCGATGTGTAGATATTTTGGACTTGATTCTAAAAGAAGAAACCATTTTTTCCTAATTTATCAATATTATGACCTTGGTTCTGCCTTGGCCACAAAATTAAATAAAAATATAAGTCAGAAATATATATTCGAGCTAACAAATAAAACTGTTTTATCCGGTTACACGATTGCATCCTGCACCCTGACATAACCACTTTCTTCTGCTGATGTGTTTGCATTTGAACCATTGGACCAGTGGGAAAGCACAGCCTTCTTTATTTCCTGATGGTGAGAAAGCTGATGCTGACATTTCTTAAAGGACTTGCGTTGTTAAACTTTTGATCCACTGTCAATTCCTTCTGTTGTTGCCTAGTGTTTGGCATTTATTTTTATGAATCGCCCTGTGGAACTGTAGTGCAAAATCAGTCTGCCAATTTTAAGGAGACCTCTAAAAGGGTTTAGGTAAAGTATGCAGATTCAGGGTGTTTTTGTTTGTTTTGTTTGTTTTTTTTAAGCCTGAAAATAGGTAAAATTAAGGACTTCAGTTCAAAACCTAACAATGTAATTGCCACTACACAGTCAATGAGTGTTTAATGCATAGATTTTAAAAGCCCATGCTGGATATCATGAATGCTTAAATTAATTATGCAGAGAGAAAAAAAAAAACCTTCCATTTCAAACATGCATAATGGAACATTGTATAAAATTGTATCTGGGTTTCTCCAGTTATGTTAAGGTGGTTGCATACAACTGAAGTTACATCCACAAACACACCGGTATGCAGTGCAGAATTCGTAAATGTGTTCCAATGAAGAAAAGCAGCTACAATTATCACCAGCTCTGGTCTCCGAGTGGTGTTCAAGGGGAAAGCAAGTGTGCTATAATACAGCTGTCTGCTATAAGAGCTGCAAAATCAGATAAGGTCTGTGAGGCGGGGGGGCGGAAAAAGCAGTATTCTTGACCAGCTGTGATTTTTTTAAACACCAATACTAACAATCATTCTGAAGTCATGATTATTTAATATTTGTTAAACCCAAGACTAGTGCTAGACACCATATGTACATAAACAAAGACAGAGAGTCTGTGTGTTGAGCTTGCAAATCTAAATTAGGCAAAGGAAGTGAAGGGCAAACAAGGGCGTGGGAAACATGCACTAAGGGCCCGTTTGGAAAAGGAGGCTATTTTGTTGCATTGTGTGTTAGTTTTAACTATCAGAAGGTGCGTTATTTCGCAACACAAAAATTTAAAGGAGGGAAGTCCGGAGGGGGGAGGGGGGAGCGGGGAGCACATTGCCTTTATGGGGGTTGAAGGAGGAAACCTTCAATATGAAGATATATCAAGTTAGAGACCTGAATGAGGAAAGCACCAGTAAATGGCAAAAAACAAGACAAAACTAAAAGCAAAAAAACTCTGACCATTGGCTGGGATCTGATACAAGAAGCAGTAAAGATAATAGGTGAGCTATAGCTCAGAAGAGAACCTTCCGAGCCCTGGAGAGGCACATCACGACGGCCCTGCCCATCCTCAGTGTTCTTCTTATATGAACATTTTACTTATCACATAAGTATGACCAGTGATAAGTGCTGGTAAGACATTTAAGACTGAGTTTGGTTCCGTCTCATGCTTACCTCACCTACGAGGAATGAGCCTGTGGCATCATAGCTGTCTGTAAGAATCCGAAGGTAATTAAGTCAGGGTAAAGACCGAGTAAACTCAGAGTACTCCACCCACACCTGGTTGGGTGCGTCAGGGACGGGGCTGTTGACACAGAAGATAGCATAGAAGTGATTGGACTAACAGAACTTTATCACGTTGCTGCAGGGGGAAAAAATGTCATCTTTTTCCCAGTGGAGTCAATAAAATGCAGCTTTATAAGGGCAGAGTGGAATATATGATATAGTGGGAAAACCTTAGAATCTACTATCACACAACCTTGAATTTGAAAGCCTTTTCTGATAGACATGAGCTCTGTGACCTTGAGGAAAGAGCTTAACCTCTCTGAACGTTAGTTTCTACCTTTGTAAAATATAGTTTAAAAATATCTTCCTTGCTAGATTACTATGACAATGACTCAAAACAGGATTTATAAAAGTAAATATTCAGGAATTCCCTGGTGGCCCAGTGGTTAGGACTCTGCACTCTCACTGCCGAGGGCCTGGGTTCAATCCCTGGTCGGGAAACTGAGACCCCACGTACAAGCTGTGCGGTCCAGCCAAAAAACTTTTTTTTTTTAATTTAAAAAGTAAATACTCTTTCTCATCTCTCCCTTCCCCTTAAAGGAATAGCTTTAGTCAAAGAATATTTATATGGCCCTTCAAATTTCTAGGAAAGAAAGATTTTAGGTTAAAAATATATTGACCTAATTGACTTTACATACAGAATTTTGAACTTAGAGATAGTTCTTTTATTTAGTCTATTTTAGTAAATAAACTTTAATTACTTATAGCAAGTAGCCCAGAGCCTCAAAGGTAAATAATGTTTTACCTGGGGCAGTGGTTCCTAGCTGGGGATGATCAGTATTTTCACAAGGCTAAGAGTGCTGGCAGAGCTAGGCAGGGCTGCTGTCTCCAGAAAGAAAGTCTTCCGCGCTCCACAGGGCAGAATAGGAGCTGCTTCTCAGATGCATCAAACCCAAGTCTGATGGCATCTCTGCTTTTATCAAATAAATGAAAAACCAGAATTGACTCTTACAAACATTGAATCTATTGCCAGGTTTATGCCCATTTCAAAAAGCAAGGGATGATTGCCATCTACTAATCTGTGTGTTATTGTCCCATTTTTTTATTGTCCCATTTTTGTGTCAGAATTATTGATTCCAAATATGAACATGTGTAAATCTGCACCTAGCACTCCAACGACTAAATCTAAAAAATATGTATAAAAAAATTAAATGAACCAGAGATCCTATTTAATTACAGATTAAAATTCACGGTGGTATGTTTTTTTAATGTATTTTATTGAAGTGTAGTTGATTTACAATGTGTTAATCTCTGCTGTAC